CAAAAGAGGTGGAATAACAGATTTGCTTTTATTATTGATACTGTTAAGGACTCTTAAATTAGACATTTGCTAGAAACTATTGCTAGCTATTATTGCTAGAAATGATTGTAAAAAGGTTTTGTCTAACGCCAAAGCCCTATTCTCAGGTCATGAAATCTTGTATTTCATCTCAAAGATTAGAGTCTTGTGGCTTCTCGAAAATCTTTAACAATATTAATAATAAGGGCAAATCTGTTATTCCACGTCTCTTGTATGGTTCAGATTTTGTTGCCTCACCTAAAGATAAAGCTGAATTATTTGCTAAAAATTTTTTATTAATATCATCTTTTAATTGCACTAGTTGCATTCTACCTAATATAGCTGACAAACAAGTTGATCCATTGCTTAACATTTTATCACTCTAGCTTCAGTATCTAAAATGATTTCCTGCTCAGACTCTTCTTCAGCTTGTGGTCCGGATAACTAACCTGTTATGGTCTTGCAGAAACGTTCTCCGTGGCTGTCAACTATACTTTTAAAACTATTTGACAAGTGCTTATCAGAATCTTGTTTTCTAGCCTGCTGGAAAGTATCATCTGTTATCCCTATTTTCAAAAACTCTGGAGAGCGATCTGACTCATCTAACTACTGTCCCATAAGTCTTCTTCCTATCATAAGCATAGTTTTTGAGTTTTTAATTAACAAATACTTAATCTCTTAAATCTAATAATTTACATTTTGATCTTTAATATGGATTTCAATTGTCTCATTGATTTTTAATAGTAATAACCTATAGGTTTTATTGTGTTATATATATATATATTAGACAGAGGTAGAGATGTTAAGGCTATTGCTCTCAACATTTCTAAAGCTTTTGATAAAGTTTGGCATGCTGGTCTTTTCCATTAGCTTTTTTTCTTATGATGTATTAGGTAATATTTTTAAGATTATTGAAGCCTTCTTTTCCAATTGTAGTGTCCTCGATGGGCAGCACTCTTCTTCATATTCCATAGTTTCAGGGGTTCCTCATAGCTTTATCCTTGGCCCTATTCTATTTTTAATTTACATTATTGATCTTCCAGATATACTCACATCTAAGGTGGCGTTGTTCGCAGATGATAGTACCATTTATTCTTGACATGATAAGAAACAAGCACTCTCTGCTTGCATGGAGATGGCATTTGAGATTAAAAAGGATCTTACTTCTGCTACAGCATGGGGCTCTCAGTGGCTGGTGAACTTTAATTTAGATTAAATTTTTCAGCTAATTGCTATCCCAATAATTTAGAGCTTCCTATATTTATGAACAATGATGTACTTAATGAGTCGTCTACATTTCATCTTTTAGGATTAACTATTATTTTCGATCTTTTTTAGAAATCATATATCAAATCAATCGTAAAGATAGCACCTGCTAAGTAGGCATCTTAGCATCTCTTTATTGTGCTTGCCATTTTCTTACTCTGGATTCTATTCTTTATCTCTAGGAATCTCAAATCTGTCCTATGGAATCCATAGTCAAATCCTTGTATGGAATACTATTGCCATATCTGGAGCAGATCTTCCATAAATACCCTTTCTCTTTAAGACAAGGTGCAAAAATAAATTGTAAACATAGTTGGACCTGCTCTTGCAGGTTATTGCAATAACAATAAGCTGAAGCTTATTCTTATCGCAGTAATCTGAAAGCCCCATGCTGTTACAGAAGAGAGATCTTTCTCAAGCTTAAATGCCCCTTCTACGCAATCAGAGAGTGTTAGCTTCTTATTAAGACAAGAGTAAATGGTATTATCATCAGCAAACAATACCACCACAGATGTGAGAATTTCTTGAAAATGGTTTATGTAAGTTCAAAAGAGTATAGGGACAAGGATAGCACCTTGAGGAATCTCGACAGAAGAGTGCTGTCCATCGAGGACAATTTTTTATACTAGGATTTGTAAAGAAGGATTCAATAATCTTAAAGGTGTTACCTAATAAACCGTAAGAAGACAACTGATGGAGAAGACTAGCATGCCAAACTTTATTAAGTTTTTGAAATTTCGAGAGCGATAGCCTTAGCCTCTATTAGTTAGTTAAAATTTCAAAATTGCAATAACAAAAATATAGGTTTAAAGAGCTTATCAATTGAAAAAAAGTAGCAAGTTGTTGGCATACGCAAAAGTGCCTCAGCAATCAAGAAATCATACGCCAGCTCAAGATCAACAAATAAGTTTAGCACAAGACAAAAGTCCCTTTGGTTATCCTTAAAAAATGTCAGTTAGGAACAAAAATAAAGCAGTTATGCCTGCTAGACGAGCATAATTGCTCTATTTTCGTTGTTTTACAAGTTATTTCTTAAAGAAATTAAAAGTGCTATTACTTTTTATATGCGTGTGCTAATACTTTTGCATACTTAGCACACGAATGCTCTACCACTAGTTAAGTTAAAAGCAAGTTAATCTTCTATAGATTGTTTAGATAAGCATTTATTCACTATCTTTTTAGCATAAGCCATTTTCAGAAAAAAAAAAAAAAATGAAAGAAAGGATTGTTGCCCCAAACCTTCTGTCGCTGTAGCAGCACTCAGCTGGGAGACAGGGTATTTATCAGTTGATGTATATGCTAAAGCCCTCAGCAGCACGCTATTTAAGTGTGAAATCAGAGTGCTCATCTAGACTAGCAATTTTGAGTTAATGCCGTTACCCATTCGTAAGTGTTCGACTTGATACTCTTGGCAGCCATTACACCTAAGTTAATGGCAAGAAAGAATTGCAGCCCTTTTTGTATCAGAAAATGTGAACAAAAATGATGCAAATATCTAATTTATGTAAACTTCAATTTATGTAATGTTAAATCATATATCAAGTTTTGCAGTTTTACTTTTACTTTAAAATTGATTTGCAGTCTTCTCCCTAATTTAAACAAGTTAAGTTTTAGTAAATTTTTTAACTTTGCAGTAACATCTCCCTAATTTAACCAAGTTAAGTTTTAGTAAAGTTTTTAACTTTGCAGTAACATCTCCCTAATTTAACCAAGTTAAGTTTTAGTAAATTTTTTAACTTTGCAGTAACATCTCCCTGATTTCATTAAATCTCCCTAACTTCAAAAAACATTTTTAAAGTTCAATAAATAATTTTACTTTTATAAAGTTTTACCTTAATTAAAAATGCATTGTGGCAATATCTTCTTAAATTTGATTTTAATCATTTATTTGGTGTCTTAAAAATTTATTTGTTGCATTCTGTCTTGCTTTTTAAATAGTGTTAAAAATTGGCAGTTTAGTGTGTCTTAGTGGCTGAAGTTCAATGTAAGGGTTCAAATCCTGTTGCTTTCATATTAATTTTTTAAAATCTTTTCCGATTTTTTAAAATACAAATAAAAACTTTTTAAAGTTCTATTGTTGATATTGAAGAAAAACAAAAAAAATTGTTGATATAATAAACAAAAGAGAGTTTTTAAAAAGCTTAAAATTGCAATAAATATCAAAACAGCTGTAGAATTTTTTTGTGCTTACGTCATTATAGAGATACTTAAGTTATTAATGTGGTTAGGTAATTAGTTAAGACAACACCTTTAACACACATTAAAGTGACAGCTTTTATTTTATTGGAAAAAAGATTTGACATTCAAATTTTTATTTTTTTCAAAATTAAAAAATGAGGGGAGCTTCCTAATAAGCTTTGAATGGTCTGGAAAAAAAATTCATAAAAATTTCATAGGAAATAGAAGAAAAAAATTTGTACCCATTTTTTATAGTTTATTATTTTTTATTTGTTTACAACTTTTCAATAAGAAGTTATAAAGTATTGAACATTAAATGTTAATTCTAAACAAAGATTTGACAAATTTATTTTCTACCACTAAATGATTTACAAATTATCAAATTTGTAGTTTGCAATAGTTGTTGCAATTTGGATTTACAATTCACAACTTAAATCATTTGAAATTAGTTCGTCTAAATCTTTTTTTAATTTAGTAGTATTCAATTCTAGCTTTACATTATTGTTAGTTGTGAAGTTTTTATATTTCATATTTTTATTACTGATATGAATAAATTTACATAATTCAATATTAAATTGCATTTGAATCATCATTTTGCACATCATTTAAAAGTTTACTAGGAAGATCATTAATTTATATTAAAAATAAAATTGGATCCTTATGGCACACTGCTTACTATAATTACCCATAATGATTTTGGTTCACACCCATAGAAGGTTCAGTTGATTTAAAAACTTTTTGAAAAAGACCATCTCAACCACACAATATTCAGTGATTAGATTCTTGAGCAACTGAAAGTTGGTCCTGGTTTTGCTTCAAACATCATTTTTAGTGATAAAGCTCATTTTCATCTATGTGAACAAGTGAAATTCTCATATTTAAGCATCTGACAACCTTCAAGAAATACAGTAACGCTATCTTCATCCAAAATAAGTGACTGTCTGATATGCTTTATTAGCCAAATGAGTAATTTGTCTGTTTTTTTTTTGAAAATGATGCCAAATAAACAGTGACTGATGATTGCTATTGATATATGCTAAAAAACTTTTTATGGGCTATCTTCCATAATATGGACATCAAAAGCACAATATTTCAGCAGGAATGTGTCAGATGCTTCACAGCTTAAGAAACAATGACTTTATGGAGATGCAGATTAATTAGCCTTAAAAATTCAACTTAAAAGACTGGAATGTTTTTTATTTTTTTTTAAATAAAAACATTCTGAATGTTTTTATTTTTATTTATTTTTTACTGTTTACATACATCGACTGACAAATAGAGTATGTAAGGAATGCTGCTATATAGACTGACATGTATGTAGAACATGTAAGGAGTGCTGCTTCATCGACTGACAAAAAAAAGTTTTTAAACTTTCTTTGGTCTTATTAGTCTATCTATTATACTATTATACTAAATATTAATTATATATATATATATATATATATATATATATATATATATATATATATATATATATATATATATATATATATATATATATATATATATATCTTTTTTAAAAAAAAAAATTTTTTTAGAATAAGTTTTATCTTTTAACTATGAAAGTAATTTTGGTAGGAAATGTTGATGTTGGAAAATCATCTTTTTTTGTACGCTTTAAAGAAAATAGATTTGTAGAACAACTAAATTCAACAATAGGGTTAGATCAAGCTACTAAAGATATTCGATTAGGTGATGGCAAAACAGTTAAGGTATTTTATTTTTCAATTCATGTTTTTTAAAAAAGCATTTATTGTTATAAAAGAAGTTTATTATAAAAAGGTATATTATAAAATGAAAAGAATAAAAGAAAGATACATAACACTGCCAAGCCCTAACCCTAACAACCCTAACCCCAACAAACACTAACTCTAAAAAATTTTATTTAAAGTAATTTTAACTCAAACTAATTTTAATCCTAATATATCCTAATATATCCTAATCTGAACCTGGTCCTATATCCTAATAAACCTTAATCTGAACCCTAAACTGAACCCTAACCCTAACAAATTTTATCTGAAACTCTGAAAAATCTTGAATAACAAAAAATTATTTGTTATTATGTATATTTTTTAACTATATTTAGTTATCTCTAAATCAAAATTTATTTTGAAATGAACAAACTAATAAATTGAAAACAAATTTCAATTCCAATGAAATTCAAGTTTAACTTGTAATGTTATGGTATTAAAAAATTTCATTCAATTCAATTTATTCAATATAAAGTTAATTAACCTTGTATCATAAATTTCATTCAATTCAATTCAGTTGATACATAGTTAAAAGCAGGCTTGTAGAGCTGAGCTGGTGCCATGGAGTTGCTATTTTTTTGGTGGAGCTGAAGCTGCGAAATTTAATTATTAAAACATACTACAACAATAACATTTATAGTTATGGTAGATAAAAAAGTAAAAAACCTTGTAAAAAAGAATTTTATTAAAAAAAATTTTGATTATTTTATTCATGCCATGGTTCATATTTTCGCATATGATTAGTCATCAATAATAAAGTCAAGAATTGGTTGACAGAAATTTATTTATATATCAAGTCGCATGTGTTTAAATATTTTTAATTAATTATAAGATTTCAAAATTCTGCGTACCTCTTAAAAAATTAAAAATATCAATCAGTTTTGATATTTTTAGTCATAATTTCATTTAAAGTTTTAATTTTCATGAATTTAAGGATGGTAACATTTTCAAATAATTATTAAACATTCTCCACATGTAATAAGATGTATTATGTGAGAGTATATATATATATATATATATATATATATATATATATATATATATATATATATATATATATATATATATATATATATATATATATATATATATTTAACATCTTCGCTTCCAACAAGGCTCCAAGCAACAACTGATTAGTGTTGGAAGTTACTGGAAGAGAAAAGATGAAGGTTGTAGAGCAAGATAACGATTTACAGATGACTTAAAAGATTGCAAATTATATAAATCAGGAAAGCGAGATGAAAGAAGAGAATTCCAAAGAACTGATGTTCGAGAAAAAAAACTAGACGAATAAGAGTTTTTGGAGCACTTAGGAACAGTAACAGAAAAAGGATGAGATTTAATTGAATGATGAGTAACACAAGAATGAATTTTAGTAGATGGCACAAGAGACGCTAGCTCTTTAGAGCAGTGCCCATTATAGTATTTGTAGAAAAGAGAAAGAGAAGCAACATTATGACGATGTGACAGAGGTTGAAGGTTGGCTGCAAGAACAGGTCCAACTATGTTTACAATGCGTTTTTGCACCTTGTCTAAAAGAGAAAGGGCATCATTAGAAGATCCACCCCAGATATGGCAACAGTATTCCATACAAGGTCGAATTTGAGATTTAATGAGATAGAAAAAAGAATCCAGAGTTAGAAAGTGTTGAGCTCGATAAAGAGATGCAACTTTAGCAGATGCTAATTTTGCAACGGATTTGATATAAGGTTTCCAAGAAAGATCAGAAGTAAGAGTTAATCCCAGAAGATGAAGGGTAGACAACTCATCGAGCACATTACCGTTCATAAATATTAGAAGGTTTAAATTATTGCGATAATGATTGACTGAAAAAAATTGAGTCTTATCTGAATTAAAGTTCACCAGCCACTGTGGGGGCTTACAGTGGCTGGTGAACTTAAAAAGGATCTCGCTTCTGCTGTAGCAAAAGCAAGATCCTTTTCAAGCTCAAATGCCCCCTGCAAGCAATCAGAGGAAGTTGGCTTCTTATCGTGGCAAGAATAAATGGTAGTATCATCAGCGAACAATGCCACCTTAGATGTGAGAACACCTGGAAGATCGTTAATGTAAATTAAAAAGAGTATAGGGCCAAGGATTGAACCTTGAGGAACCCCTGAGGTTACAGAATAATAAGAAGAGTGCTGTCCATCAAGGACAACTTTTATACTACGATTGAAAAGAAAGGATTCAATAATCTTAAAGATGTTTCCAGATACACCGTAAGAAGAAAGCTTATGGAGAAGACCAGCATGCCAAACTTTATCAAACGCTTTAGAAATGTCAAGAGCGATGGCCTTAACCTCTCCACCTTTATCTAATGCGCGATAAAACCTATCGGTTATTACTGTTAGCAAATCAGCTGTAGAACGAGAAGATCGAAATCCATAATGATGATCAGAATATAAATTATTAAATTCAAGATGAGAGATTAAGTGTTTGTTAATTAGAGATTTAAAAACCTTGCTTATGATAGGAAGAAGACTGATGGGATGGAAGTTAGACAAATCAGATCGCTCTCCAGAATTTCTAAAAATAGGGATAACAGATGCTGCTTTCCAGCAGGCTAGAAAATAAGACTCTGATAAGCACTTGTTGAATAGTTTTGAAAGGATAGACGATAGCTCCGGAGAACATTTCTGCTAGACTATAACAGGTATGTTGTCCAGGCCGCAAGCTGTAGAAGAGTCTAAGCAGGAAATCGCTTTAGATACGGAAGCTGGAGTGATATGGATGTCAAGCAATATATCAAACTGTTTGACGCCTATATCAGGTAGAGCGCAACTAGTGGAATCAAGAGATGATATTGAAAAAAAGTTCTTAGCAAACAATTTAACTTTGTCTTTAGGTGAGGTGAAAAAGTCTGAACCATACATAGGAGGTGGAATTGCAGACTTGCCCTTATTATTGATACTATTAAAGATTCTCCAGAAGTCACGAGAGCCTAATTTTTGTGATGAAATACGAGATTTCATGATTTGAGAATAGCGGGCTTTGGCGTTAGACAAAACCTTTTTACAATGGTTCCTAGCAGTAATAAACAGACGTCTGTTTTCTGGAGAATTGTTTTGCTGATAGATATGGAAGTAATGGTTTCGATTGGCAATTGCAGCAGCACAATGTGAGGAAAACCATGGAGAAGAGTGAGGCTTGACCTGGAATCGTCAAGAGGGAATAAAGGATTCCATGCCAGCCTGAATCCACGAAGTTATGTAAGAAGCAAATTTGTCAACAGGAAGACGAAAGATTTCTACCCAGGTTCCATCACGAAGAAAATCACGGAAAGAGTCCCAGTCAGCTTTAAGGTAGTTGTAAGATGTAAAATGATAGGGGGATTCTGATGATAAAGAAGAATGAGATAATAGTTTTAGAGAGACCAAACCATGATCGGAAGCACCTAAGGGTAAGTGTGGAGAAACTGAGCACTGACTAGGATCAGAAAAAAGACATAAGTCGAGTAGAGGTAATTGATTCGGTTTGTACTTTTGGTGTGTATTGGCCTTGGCAATACACACCAAAAGTACAAACAGGGACACTATCCTTGGCACTGTTAGTACTTTGATATTTTTCAGCTGTTGATGGAATCAACCTCTCTGAGAGCTACCACAAAGTTCGGGAAACCTGACTACCAGCCGGCCTCAAAACCATAAAACTGAGTTTTAGAGCTGTACCCTCATTTGGAGATAATAGAATGAGTTGCCTAGTCATAAAAACAGAGACACAAGCAAAACCCATGCATCGAGTCAAGAAGATCTAGTGTTCAACATCCTAAACTGGAAACAATGTATTAAAAATACATCTGCGCCAGCCTGATAGATGGAGAAAGGGTGCGAGGCTGGTTAACAGATAGAATCTGTTTACCCCCTAAGTCTTTGCCTAGGAGGCATTCTACAAGACAGCAGTTGGATGCATTTAACATCTGCCCAAGATGAGTATTTTTATCAAGACACCATCTCTAGCCTTTATTCAACCAAGAGCCCCAAGGCAGGGGTTGTTTTATGTTGGAGTTGGTATCTCCTAGCCTTTGCCTATAAAGGCGTATCCTACAAGCAGGACATAAAGCAGATTGTACTGGGTTACATGTTACCAGTAGTAGGATAAACCTGACCTAACTTAGGATAAACCTGACCTGACTTATATATATATATATATATATATATATATATATATATATATATATATATATATATATATATATATATATATATATATATATATATATATATATTTATAGTAGGGTGACCTGACTGAGGTAGGAGCTCTTTAACCTTGGATGGCAGTCTTCCTAGTGGTGGGTATCATAATAAAAAAACCCAGTTCTTCAAATCATTCAGAGCAAAAAGTTAACCTGAAAATGTTTTTTTATTAAAATTTTAAAACTATTGTGTGTATGTTATAATTTTGTACTACATTTTGATGAGTCCCTTGGAGTTAAAGTTTTAAAGGCCTTACCTATGACTTATTGACACAAACAAATCAAAACATTTTTTCAAATTAATATTTTTTATGACAAATAAATAACAGAGTTACTATGCCAAGTATGCTTTTGTTAAATTTGTGGCTATGAAAATAGCCATTTTTGAATTTGATATTACAACATAAGCTATTTATTCAAACCCAATTGATGTTTTTTTATTTTTGAACAAAGTGATTTTGACTTAGTTTGATTCTCTTTAAGTTTGTTGATACTTATTATTAATAATTAATTGGAAATAAGTTGAAATTATGAGTTTTAATCCAGTTTGGTTATAATGTTTTGAAATTTCATGGGGGTGTTTTTTGAAAAAAAAAGTTGAAAAAATCACCAGCAAGGAAGACTGCAAAATTTAGAAAATCTAATTTTATGGTCTAAGTATTTAATCTTATATACTACATAGAGCTCCTTTAAGTTACACAAAATCAATTTTTTTGACATATTTTTTTTCCCCAACAGTTACACAGTCTTTTTTTACCTGGCATTTGCC